AAAAACTACTGCGTAGAATTAATTGGAATTTTTCACACACAAGCCTTGCTATATGAGCTCTCAAAGCATATAAAAATTATACGGCTTAAATGTGAAGTTGGGTGCAAAAGAATACAATTAAATCCTCTGTCGGGAAAAAACGAAATGACTTTCCGAACAACCCTATAGCATTGCTCGCTGCAAACCTGCATGTTGGGCAGTTACCTGTTAAATATAATATTGTCCCTGGGCAAATAACTTTATTATAGTGTAGGGCATAAATCTATTTTCTACTGTTTCGTATATTGACATTTTTCAAATTTTATTCTCTTATTGGTTTCCGACTTTAATCGAAAAACATCCAGGACTTTCAGCTGCCCTTTAGCAGTTTTCTTAATAATTTCATTTCCAAAATACTAACACAATTATAACGTTTATTTATTTTGTATAGTGTTTGCTCAATGGTGTAAATTTTTGAGTTAAAAGTGCAATTGTGAAACCAAGAAGAAGTTCCATTTGGTAATATTTTGTCACCTAAAATTATTACACTTCCGCATCCGCTTCCGCAAAAATTTACTATTTACTTCTGTATCCGCTCATTTCTGTTATGACATTTCTGTTGTATCTCTAGTGGATAGCTTTACTCTATATGGCTTTGATTCTACACCCTATTAGAAAAACAAAATACTGAAGAAATGGGCATTCAATAAACTTTAAATACAAGTAAATAGTATATTCCTCGAAAACAATTTTTACTCCAACTTGATAAACGGTTAAATTCTATTAAAAAAATGATTACCAAATGAAATTGTAGATCCCCAGAACCTTCTCTAAGATATTAAATTGCCATCAAATGACAATTTTAATTTACCGCTTTAACAATGTGCCCTTTTGATTTACGACGACATGTATTTTAAATACTGCCCTTTAACCAATTTTATTAAAAGATCATCCACTTACAGAACGCTTCAAGGAGCACGACAGACAGACATTTTTGGAATCAATATGATTTATTAGCAGCAAATAATCTTAAGATTACGAGAACTTAAATAACATTAAAACATTGTGAACATTTAATATTTTTGGGAAAATATCTAAAGAGAAGACGATTTTTATAATCCTGAGATGGTTCGGAATCTCATGAACTTTGGCCTTGAATTGCGCAGTGCCAAAACTTCCCCTGTTCATTGATTTCTATATTTCTACCTCTTCTTAAAAACTTTTGCCGTCACTAGTGTTGCCCAAACGCAAGAACAAGACGAGACTTAGCCAGTCTTGGTCTTGGTCTTGCGCCAATACACCTGGTCTTGGTCTTGGTCTTGGTCTTGCGCTCCCAGTCTTGGTCTTGGTCTTGGTCTTGCGCTCCCAGTCTTGGTCTTGGTCTTGGTCTTGCAGCAAGAGTCTTGCAAGTCTTGCAATTACCTATTAGTCTATTACTATTTATTAAAGTTTACTTTAAATCCTAGAAAAACGTATTAGAATTGGAACATTGTGAGCTTGAATGAATATAGCCATAGTAAAGATCAAGCAGATTAATAAATAACTGAAGATTTGATAAGAAATTCGAAAAATCAACTGACCTATATGTCGTTTTCCATGGAAGTAACTGTTTCTTAATAAACATTTATGATCCTTGCTTTCTACCGCGCCGCCTCGCCACGTGCCGGCTCTATGATAAGGATGCCGCCGCAAATCAAACAATAATATAAAGCGTGTAAAAAAATTCGAAATTATTTTGCATGAGTATACCTACACCCTATGGCGGCAATCAAATAGTGTCAAATGTTATGATTTCGGCGTGGCGGCAACGATTGTTTTAGATTTCAAAAGAAGCCGCCGGCGCGTGTATCATAACCATGTACTTCCGAAAAGCGGCAAATTTCTTTGAGAAGTAAGTACAAAACCTTTGATGCCGCATTATCAAAGTGCCG